CTTTTATCAGAAGAAACTAAAACCTCAAAAGGAAAGATAATTTCTAATTTTTGAATATGACTACGTCACATGAAAACCAAGAATTGCTAAGGTGAGAGCATGTATTTACTGTCTCCTTTCGAAATATCATAGAAATAATCGGCAACTGCTTAAGTGATACTTGGGGAGAAATCAAGCTAATACTGCCGCCAAAAACGACTTGTTTGTTTGTTGACGAGAACTTATGTCTTGTGTGAGTCGTCACGCAACACTGATCAGGAGAGGGGCGTTGCGTGACGACTTCAATGAGACTAACGAGAACTACGCTTCTGAACGTTATGCTATTAAATTATGTAGTTTAACTCTCATAAAACTTGGTTCTACCTGGAACTTGGGAGAGGTGTCCATAGGGCTTGTCCAGTCTTTGGATGAACAACTGTAACTTACCTTCTTTCTATTTTGTCTTCCACTATTTATAAAATAATTAGTTCCCTTTGTAACGTCACTGCTACCCGACGGTACCCATTTCGATAACCCACTCCCACTCCGTGTCCCCAACAACACCGTGAACGGCAGACATCGATTACTCGCCACCTCAATCCTGTGCCATACTTCGCTGAATACTTTGGGCACAAACTTAATCTTGACCAGAACGAGAAACCTGGGCGTTATGGCGTCACCGAGGTCATAGCCGTGGATGGCTACAGTTCGTTTATAACTGGCAAATCGGTTATGACTTTAAAAATAATATCATCATTTACAGGGATGTATTCAGGTTAGCCTATCATCCCGTTATAATTAACCCTCGTGTGCATTAGAGAAAGGTATATAAAATTATATTAAGTTGTTTCAAAGCAAACACAAGCTTTTTAGGCTCAGTTTCTTTTTTGCTGTCACCTGGTATGTTTGACCAAGTCCGAGTCGACTATGGCAGAGAGTTTTACTTGGTATTGGCAGTTCAGAGTCACATGAAGAGCATGCAAAATAACGCAAGCAGACAGCCATACATACAGACACAGTCAAAGTAGGTAATTAGGCTAATGAATCTGTGGTAACAATATTAATAGGTAGAATGCGATTTCAAGGAAAAAACAATCCACAAATTAGCAAAATAACGACTCAAACACCTGCAACAGCAAATTTCTTCATCAGGTTTTGTGGAATTTAATGTCGCTTGGCTCAGGTCAAACGAGACGAACTAAACTGAGCGAATTAAGTTCATAACATAAGTTCGACGTTTGACTCGGCTGAGTCAACTGAAGGAGATGGTAGATCTAGATTTGAATTAAGTTCGACGTTTGACCCACTTGGATCTACTCAGATTGCAATTTTGTTCGCCTCATGTGAATCTGGGCCAACAGGTAGGATAGTTTTACGTGTCAGTCATTTTGTTCTATACTGTTTCTTTAGAATCATGCCGTGGAACGGCTTTGGGTAGAAATGAATTGCCGAACCAATATCCCATAAAGCGTGAGATGGAAAATAACGGCAGCATTCATATGGAGCGTGACGTGACAAAATTCTACGTCTCATGGGTTACAAGGCAAGTTGTGGAGGTGGGACTTGGATACGCAGTCAATTCCTGGAATTCGCATCCTATTCCAGGTAATTCATCTCTTAACCTCTTGAGATTAATAAGGTAATACGAGACTTCTGACTAACATGCACTTTATTATTGTACAGGGCTTTTGCTGTTGATGTGAACGTTGTTATACCGACAGTACAAGCAGCTCTACAGATGTTCAGTGGCACGCTGACTCCAGAGCAAACCTTCGGTAGAGATCCTTTAGCGCCTTACGTTACAAAAACTGATGCCCGGCAAAGGGAGTTCAAGAAATACTTTCCAAGTTTCATAGTTTTGTTCAGTGAAATTGCCAATACAAATTATACCCCTTTCCAAGATGCCGTACTGTACTATTTAAGGCTGACGAATTATCTTGCCTGTAGGTAACTTGATAATTCATTTTCAACTATGTCTTGTGAGAATCTATATCATTAACTTCAGGGTCTGTACTCCGATAGAGCAACCACTGCTGTCATTATTAAGTTACTTTTCTGGTAACCATAAATTTAACTTTTATTTGTTAATGTGGGTTTTACGCATATGATTTGTCAATGTAAATGGAAAAATAGAAACTTCAGTGGAATAGATTTCAATTTTTTTGTTTTTTGGTTTTTTCGATTGGTTAGGAAAACGGAAAAATGGAAAATGGACAAAATATCGTTTTTAGCCATAAACAAGATTTTTCTAATTTTTAGATTTATCTTAAAATTAGAAAAATGGAAAAATGATGCGTTTTTACTGACCCATTTCTAATTTAACACTTTTCTTGGTCAGCTGAAAATGAATACAAGCAGTTTAGTTGAGTAATATTTGCTTATTCCATATTTCACGAAAATTGAAAAATTGAATTGGCCGAACCGTGCACAGACCCTTCTGAAACCGAGCAGAACGAGGTGTCACGTTTCCCGAAATGTAGGTTACGGTTTGTAAAAAACAATCGGTTAAAACAGCATGAAGTGGAGTAATTGGTACGACTACTGTAGGAAGCAGTAATGTATGCATCTTTAAGAATTACCGATTTAGTATTGGCAATGAAGTCTAGGAAACTTTGCATGCGCGGTTTTTCGCACGTGCACTCAGGCTTGTTCGTTTTCGCAGTCACACAACGCTCCCCTCAATTAATACGTGGCCCAGTCAGGTTCAAAAGAACAATAACGCAATTCACCGGGTAGATCGTTACACAGCAGATGGGATTGTTAATTTAGTTATCCAAGATTTATCCAGAGACTAATCCGGTAGATAATGATAATTAAACTTTGTGATTGCTGAAGTGTAAGTAGCATAGTAACAGAGCGACATGGTCACGCAACCATAGCGTATGGTTTTCTGTATTTCATGAACAAGAAGTTACGTTTATTTCTAAGTACTTCTCCGTTTTAGGTTGTTCTTCAAACACTATACCTTGAAGATGATTTCACTAGGATTGCCAGATTTCCGAGTGACATCAGTGGTGGTTTTGATGCTACATTTTAGCAAGACAAACTTACCGTGCAGGTCATGGGTGAGAGCGTACCTGATCAGTTCACTGGGCCAGCTGGGGCGTTAGTAGTAATGCACGCTTATATTAGCGGTAACCAATCGGGAGCCGAGAAAGACAATAGGCTATTGTTTCGAGAACAATGGATTCTATTGTTCTCCAAATCCAAGATGGCAGCTTGAAAAATCAGACCAATCAGGAGCCGAATTAAGAATTCAAGATGGCGGCACCCAGGAAAGTCGGCCATGTTGGAAAACAGCCCACCAGCCTCGATGGAGGACCTGGGATCGGTCTCATGGATTTTCATGGTGACACAAATCACGCCAGGGTCACGCAAAAAATGT